CAGTAGGGGCAGATAACAGTAGGGGCAGATAACAGATGCAGTAGGGGCAGATAACAGATGCAGTAGGGGCAGATAATATAGATATAACAATAAAGGCGAAAAACAAGTAGGTTTCTGGTTTTGGTTTAATTTCTATATCAATTAGCCATTTGAAGACGAAATGGGAAAAGCACGTGGATTTCCGTTTTTTGTCATTCACACGAAAATCGGAAAATTAAAATATGCATTGTATATTTGTTTATTTGTTTATCCTGTTATAAAGCAAGTTAAACAAAGCTGTGGACGGAGGGTACACCAATAGCAGCGAAACGTTCATAGTTCGCATCTAAGTTTAACATAATGTTGAAAGTTGAAAAAATATATATGAACAAGTCATGGCATGAGATGTATAATGCTTCATAAACAGCGGTAACTTAGATGGTGATCTCCTTCCTTTCTCGGTCATGTTTAGCTTTTTCTTTCCTAATCAGTTGATTTTATGAATGGTGCGTAAATATTGCCGCCGCAGTGACTTGTGGGATGGAATTATCTCCTTTCCTATCGCTTAGGAAGGTCCGATATGCTAAAGGAGATCTGAAAGGAAGCATTGAGCCTCCTTTCCTTAGTGTTTAGAGAATTCGAACAGCTCTTATGATGGCGGCCGCTAAAATACTTCTGGGTCATTTCACTCAGCTAGGAACCTTCCTAAGCAAAAGGCCCAATTCCAATCCGATCCCTTCACTGACTTAGAGGCGCGTTCATGTGAAGTGCGTGAGTGTGTGAGGGCTGTCCCATTGTCAAATCGTCAAGTCAGTGAGTCAGTGAGTGAGCCCTTTATGTCCCCTTACCGTAGGTCAGCATCAATGCGGACTTACGGTAAGGAAATTACCCACAGTTCATAGCGTTGTGACGTCAAATACAGGGGTTGCCCTCGGAACACCGCAAGTGTTATAAAAAAAAACGAAAACACGGTTGGCAGATATGCAAACGGTAACGTTATGGAAGGAGAGCGAAAAAAACTGATAGATAAACAATGAAACATTACATTAACAAGGATTTAAGATGGTACATAAACACATAAGAGTCAGAGGAATACTAGTGGTTATATTCCACAGAATAGCCTATGGCTATATATATCTATCTATATATCTATCTATCTATATATATATATATATGTATGTATATATAGCGCATATTCTTTGTGTGTGGAATATATGCTGACAATAACCGGTAAATGATCACGCCCAGAGCCGCCAGTGTCAACAACATTTTGTAGAGAGGGGGATAAGTGCTGTCCCATTCCTATTTGTAGCATCTGGGGCCCTTTCAGACTCTCACACTCAATCACTTACAGCTGACGTCAGTTAATTCAGTGAGGGTTCAGGGCTTGAGTCTTTAGGGGCCGGATTGTAATTGGGCCAAAAAAGACTTTCCGAACGCAGGGCTGGTCTCTTCTCTCCTTCCTCGAGCTGATTCTACGGGCGCCTCACGGTAGCGCATATGCGCATCCATTGCGCATATGCGCAAATGCGTCCCATCGCGCAAACGTGGCCCCCCCATGGAAGATGAGGCCCTACACACAGCGCGTGTTCTGCGTTTAGGGAGTCCCGTGTCCCGAAAGTAAACTGAAGACCCAGCCAAAGCCTGCAGGACTGAACGGGCAACTTTCGATTGAGTAAGTAACGTTAGCCTACACACATGCATAAATTGTTTATTTTCCTTGAATTTGTTTGCTTGATAAGTAAATAACTATCAGAATTTACATTTCTTTAGTTTCTTCTCATCGCTTGTGTAGAACGGCCCGCACACTGCACAAAAAGCAGAGGCACTTCTTATGCAAAACGTGAATTTATTATTACATAGTGCTCAGTGACAAAAAGTGAGAAACAGAAAGGTGAACATTTCGGTGGTAAAGAGGATTGTCTTTACGAATTGCCTCTGATTTTTTTTTTTTGCAGAGGTTAGCAGGTCAGTATAAATGACCTGGATGATGATGACAAGCAACTCTAGCGATTCATAAAAAAACATTGGTGAAATGAACGAGTTTCGCGGCAGATAATGTGTTATTTAGAGCCTCATTGTCGTTGCCCCGATCATTCCCACTATATGGATGTATGCGGCTCTCGTGGATCTAAATATCTTCCGAATGACTCCAAATGACACCAAACTTGTCTGGGTGAGTAAACAGCCGTATTTAATGCCAGAAATAAGATCCACGTTGTAAAAAACAGAACTTCCCCTTTATGGTCTTGGTTTGGAATTGGTATCCCTTTCACTTTTACACCTGATTGTAACAAGACGTTATTACCCATCAGACACTCTGACATGGGGTTGGTTGTCCCTACAGTTATCAATGGGGTTTCAGGGAAGAAAAAAAAAAGAAAAAACGTGACTTTTTAACTTTTTTAAGATAAAAACACAAAATAAGTTTGAAATTGAATACCATCTCTATAATAGCACTCATCAGTGCCCCTTCTGATACCATGGATTTGAACCAGGCGCTTGTTTGTTTGAATTATCCTCTGTAATGAAAGAGTAGAATGAAGGAATCTGCAGTGCTGAAATAAATCTAGCTTTAATCAAAGCCATCGTTTTATAACAGTTCATTATGAATATAACATGAGATGAAACAGTGAGATTGGAACAGATTCATCTCCATCACAATATGACCAGGAGCTTCAGTTAAAATGTCAAACAGACGAGGTTGAAGTATGTAACTGTTTAGATACCTTGTTAGTGACATTGTGTGTGTGTGTGTGTGTGTGTGTATGTGTGTGTCTAATTAAAAACACCTGAGAACATATGGACACAAACAAAACACAAACCAAAAACATGTGATAATACAAAAAATACAAACCATCTTACAAAATCCATCCATTTCTAAAATTAATTCATGGCTCCGACATATCTCGTGTTGAAGAGAGAACTTAACACATCATTCTGTAAAAAAAAACCTTAATAGCTTTCACAACTCTTGGTTTATGTTTCTGTCCTTTAGGCCATCCTGTCTTTACATTTTTACAATTGGGACTACGTCATATGAACAAGATTATATTCATGTAATACAGTAATCTCTGTTTACCTCTTTCTATCAGGAGGGTGCTGCTGAAATAAGTTAATTTACAGGAAATTAACTTAATATTTTAGACATGAACTGAACCATAGCCTCATATGACTTTTTAAACACATTTAACTTGTCATTTTTTTTAAAAACCTGTAAATACATTTAACCCTTTACACGCTCTGTATATTTATACTAATAAATCTTTTATTAAAAACAGATTAATGTAAACATGTATTTTTGTCAGGACTCTCATTTTTCTGTGGTTGTAGTAAAACAACAAATCACATTTTAAATAAAGTCTGTAACAAACAATAAACTGTGCTGGGATCAGTGAAAACAAGCAGGAGTTGATGTGAGGACCTGGTATGGCTGACAGAGGAGGAGGCTATTTGGACGTTACAGCAGCAACATTCGTTTTTGGTCTGAAAATTCTGGTTGTTATGAAAATGAAATATTTTACATTCAAGGTAAAAAAATCATGCATATTTTTCCTTTTGTCAATATTGACCAACAACTGAAACACTGTGTGAATAAAAACAATATAACTGTGCAGCTGATTAGACATGTTTAATATAAAATAGAACAGTAACTGCAACATGTCACCTGAGGAGAAATACCAGTCTCATTTATAAAATTGCAGTGTTTTGAGTTGTTGAGTTAGGGGCAGGGCTGCTGCTGGACATTCAGGTCTTGAATCAGTGCTCTAATGACTCACTCACAGGGTCCTGTACGTCCTGATGAGTTGTTTCTCTGGTAACATCAGTGTCTGTGGATGCATAGTTTTCTTTCTTATCAGTACATTTAGTAAAATGGACTTTGACTGCAAAGAGAGTGGCACAGATAAAGAGTAGAGCTATCAGTCCCAGTCCAACGTAGACACCAATCCTTCCTCGACTCTCTGATTGTGGACTCTCTGGTTGTGGACTCTCTGGTTGTGGACTCTCTGTTGGTCTCTGAGGTTTGGGCTCATCAGCAGCTGCTGACAGAAAATAAGATCAGCAGACTGACAGGGAGAAAACCTGTTTAAGCCAGTAGAAAGACTAAATCAAATCCTAATCTGCATCACAGGCAGAGTTGGGTATAACGCATTAATGTACTTTGATTACTTTTTGCAGTAACGAGTAACCTAATGTGTTAGTTTGCTGTTTGAGTAATCAAATACTTAAGTACATTTTCAAACAAGACATCAGTTACTTACGTTACTTTCAGAACGCTGGTCCTTCAGCTCCAAAACAGCAACGGCTATCGTTTGGTTCTAATAACGGAGATAACGTTAAACCTATCAGTCTGAAAGAAGCCACAGAGCCTGTGGCTCGCTACGTGGTCGGAGAAATGCTGCCGTTGTCTATGGTGGAGTCTAAATAGGTGGAGTAGGATTCGCTGACAGACATATTTCAGACTCAGGACTTGCATTATGCCTGGTACACGCTAGTACTCACCAATTATCCCCGGTCGTCTTTCAAGGCGTGTGTGATGTCATCGGGTTATTCTTGTCCTATTTTTATTTCACTATTATTTGAGTCAGAACTGTGTGTGTTCATGTGCCAGCCGACATGTTGTTGTAGTCACCTAAAAGCGTCAGCAGATGGCAGGAGCTACATTTGAAGCGCCATATGTAAACTGTCAAACTACTGTATCTTCCACAGGAAGTTCTGACAAATTTCAGAATAAAAGCCTATTTAGAAAATGGAGGGATTCTCTCAGCCGAGGTTATAAGGGGCTTTTAATTTGAAACAAGTGTTGAGTTTGAAATGATGGTGCAATGTGTTAACTTTACAAAGACAACGGAGCGGATAAAAAGTAAATATATAAACACACAGAGGGATTAATAAATAACGGACCGTCTATAATGTAGTTTGTTTCAAATGAAGCTGGGAGCCTCTGCAGTTGTGGTGAGTAAAAGCCCCACCGCTATTTGTTAATGTTATTACTAGGGATGCACCGAAATGAAAATTTGGAGCCTAAGTCGAAGCCGAATAACATTAAACGCTTGGCCGAATACCGAGTACCGAGTACCGAATATCGTTGTTTAGTTTTTCATTAGTTTTTGCAGATGAACCCCCTCCAGATTAGTGTTGTCACGGTACCAAAATTGGGACCCACTGTGCGATACCAATGAAAATATCACGGTTCTGAGTAGTATCACAATACCACAGCAAAAATGAGACAGATGTGCCTTTTGTCATTTATAAATAGATAAATCACTTTTCTGTAATACATCAATGATATTTCTTTCTTCTTTTTTTTTTACAGATTTTTTTTGGGGTATTTTTAAGCCTTTAATCGATAGGACAGACAAGTGTGAAAGGGGGAGAGAGAGAGGGAGTGACATGCAGCAAAGGGCCACAGGCTGGATTTGAACCCGGGCCGCTGCGGCAACAGCTTTGTACATGGGGCGCCTGCTCTACCACCAAGCCACCGACGCCCCACATCAATGATATTTCAATGGAATAAATTATTTATTGACTTATTCATACTTCAAAAACAGCATCAATAAGTGATTAACATAGGGGGAATCAAAATAAAATAAATAAATAAAATAAGAATCAACCAGCCCCCCTCCTCCCCTGACAAGTAAAGAACAGTCCCTTCATAAGTAATGAACAGTCCCTAAAGTGCGGTGAGGTTTGTGGGCCGTTACCTGCCAGAAAGAGAGAAATGTGAACGGCTCGTTTCTTCTCTGACACATCACATACCTGTGTTCGGCTGGCTCGGCTGTTCAGGTACTTCTGGGCAGCCATGACGCCAAGAAGAGAATATTATTGGAGCCGACTTCTCCGTCACTGGTAAGCCGATGGCCGCCGTATTTGACAAGAATACATTACTGTCTGTGTCTGTGACCCCCGTTCAACCCACAATCGGTGGGATTCGCCTATCGTTTCTGCTGCTGGTTGAAATCTGTACTCACACAGCGTGCTGAATGATTTAAGCCTATTTTGCTAGCTAAAAACTATTTTTAGTCGCAAACTGTCGACATTTTACTCCGCCCGTCACAGCACGCTGTTTGATTGCGTTATCAAAACACGCCGCTATTATTCGGCCTTGCTTTTAACTTATTTCACCGAATACCGAATGTGTGTTTTTTTGCAATATTCGGCCAAATATATTCGGTTACCGAATATTCGGTGCATCCCTAGTTATTACTTTATGTCCGACCGTGAGGATGTACCATTGTTTGCTAGCTTGATGCTAATGACAGTAACTCAGTTAACTCAGCGGGTTGACAAAGTGCCTCTGCTGTTTCACACCATCATTTCCCCCTTTTACTCTGTGTGTTAACATCCCTAGAGGAAATATTAAAAACGCTGGGGTGTTGTTGTCATACAGTTGTCTACGGCAGCAGATTGTTCTGTGTTTCTACTGGTCAAAGTGACGGCTGTGATGGGAGAATTGGATCTCAGTGAAGGGCAAGTGGTCCATAACTTTAATTTTCAAGACAAAAAAAAATGTAGGCTTAGCGCCCTGTGGTCCATTGCCCAATAGGAAATGTAGAATACTCAAAAGTACTTTAAAAGTGCTTGAGTTACTTTTCTCAGGGAGTAACGTTAGAAGTACTTTTAAAGTAATTGAGTTACTTTACTCAGGGAGTAACGCAGTAAAGTAACTGGTTACTTTTTTAAAAAGTAATGCAGTAACGTACTTTGATTACTTTTAAAGTAACCCTTACCCAACACTGATCAGTACCTGGTGTGACGTGATGTGTCCCCCAGGAGGTCACGCCTGCCGTTTTCTCTGTCTCTTTCTCTCTCCTTTCACACTCACACACATGCAGAGACCCACTTGCACGCTTTGATTTGTTGCTTCTAATTAGTCAGTTTAGTATGTTTATTAAGTGAACAGCTTGTGATTCTTGACTCATAATTGTTTAATAAACATTTGTGACTTTACTAGAGCAGTCCTCTGTGGTGATTTGTGCATTGTTTTTGTATCATTAGCTGGTTGTGATGGTCAGTGCTCGGGTTNGTGTAGGGACACCACCATTCTAAACTCTCCAGACTGGACTACAATAGACAACGAAAGACCGCCGGAGGGTCAAATGTTTAGGACTCAACCCCGTAATCACCCCCAGTCCTGACAAATGCTTCTTTCAGCCATCCTTAGGCCAAATAGAGGTAATTGAGAGGTAATTGAGATCCTTCAAGGCTCCTGATATCATTAACTCTTAAAAAGGGATCCGGTCTAAGGCAACGCGCCTTGATTAAGAACCCTGCTAGGGTCTTAAGACAATGCGTCTTTTCTCAACCACATCCTGTCCATTCCTGTCACCCAGAGAAATCACGCCCTCCCCTCTCTTACCAAATGTTTCTGTGTGACAAACTGTTGGAAGTGAAATTATACATTATATCCATGTTATAATGTTGTAAATGTGCATAATCCTTGTTTGTTAGCTGAATGATGTTTTTCTTATTTTCGTAAGACAAAACTTAAGGGAATTATGAATTAAAGATTTTAATCCCTCATTTATAGCTGCTGTGCGGAACTTTTCGTTTTCGTTGATTATAGCGCCCCTTTGGTCGAAGTGGTATGACACCCACAGCCTGGTGTCGTAAAGCCGGCAATTACCACATGCATTTGTTTTGGAGAGCAAGAGGATTAACTAACGTCAGGTCAGTCCAAGTAAATTGTGTAAAGAGCAAAATTACTCAGTAAATTCTCCTGTCGTGTTTCTGTTCTGATCTAATCTAATCTGTTGTGTATTTTGAGCTACTAAGGCTACCGTAGTAGTGTGAGCCTCAAGTTATTCTGGGTAATGTAGTAACCGTTGTTGTGCTACCGGAAACAATGAGAAGCAGCTGTGTACGTTCGGTGTAAGGAGGAATAAACAGTTAACAAGTCATCTGCTGAGTCCGCATTATTGTGTGAAAAGAATACTCAGACGATTTGGGAGTTATGCCCTTTCTCTATCATTTTCATATTGAGACAGCGGTTAGCATGGCACTGTCAGTACATCTTGCGCGGAGGGATACACCGGTGAGCAACAGCTGCAGCTGGCTCTGGGACAGGTACACCAGGTCACTCGGTAATAGCAAACAAAGAGACGACACGGACGATATTACTCACCCGACTGAAAGCTGTCCATCAGCTCCTGCAGGCCTGAGGCGTTTTTTCCAGTTCATCTTAGGAACATGAAAAAAAGTTTCAATCACGCCAGGATTAGTGATTGCTGCAAAGTTTTCATTCCTTGTGATGCACTCTCTGCGGCGGTTTTCCTCCTGATGATATATCTCCCCAACGATGGTAGCACCGAATCCTATTTTGTGCAGGAAAATAGTAGCGCAGGATTCAGCCTCTCTCATCTCTGCTCAGCATCCCACACATGGAGTTCCTCATCTGTGTACTCCAGCTCAAACAGTTATGGCTCTGGGTCTGTGTCCGCTACAAGAAACTCTTCAAAATCGCTTTCAAAGTCGTCCATTGCAGCTACTATAGTCTGGAGATATTGCTAGGCTAAATAAACAGCTGAGTTTTGTTTACAAGCTACGTCTGTGCCTGCTCACCGGTGTATCCCTCCGCGGATCACAGCGCAGGAAGTACTGACCCCTTATAAGCGCAATGCTAACCGCTGAGACCCAGCCACTGGACGAACAGACACAAAAAAGATATTGATCATGTTGTCTCAATATGAAAATGATAGAGAAAGGGCATGACTCCCAAATCGTCGGAGTATTCTTTTATGTGAAGATACACAGTGAAGACATAACATAATCCTAACACAGCAAAGCTGTTACCTGCAGCCTTCACTTGCAAAGCTAACGCTACTAACGTTAGGTCAGTCCAAGTAATTAGTGGAAACATGCTAACATGCTAACGTTACAAACAAATTAGTAGTAAAGTAAGACCTGTTTATAAATGTTCTGTTGTATATTTGTGTTCATGGTCAGTCACAGATAATTTTACATGATGCTCCTTCGTTATCCACCATGACATCAAAAGTACAACCAAGTCCTCATAGATACATCTCTGGTAAAACTGTTAGGT